GGTATAATTTTGATTCAGTCACACTGGACAGCTATTGTGTGTTGGCTGTTGTCATTTTTTTTTTATTTGGCAGTCTAAGGGAAAACAGTCAGGCACTGAATGTTTTAAAAATTCTTGTGGCACACTGGTGTGACCTGCAGCACATGGTTGAAAATCGCTGCTCTGAGCACAGGCAGATCGAGATCTGTGCCTGGGAGGGCAGAGGAAGGTGAGATTCACTCACCTGGAGGCATCTGGAGGGCTCCCTGCAGGAGGAGGCATAGCTGAGCTCTCAATGGAACCACCTCCCCTTGAGCCTCTGTGGTGGCTTGGGTCCAGAGCAGGGGCTTTCTCATACCCCTGGGAAGGTCTCACTGTCCCCATTTTACACAGGAAGACAGCAGGGCCCAATGTGAGCTGCAGAGCTACTGGTGGCCCGGAGGCCTGAGAGCTGGTCATTGCTCCAAGGGGATGTGTCTGAGTGGGCAGCAGAGATGTGGGGAAGGGAACTCCTAGCGGAGGGACCCGAACAGGCAGAGGCACGGTGTGGGGCTCAGGTCACGTGTGCAGTGCAGCCAGGCCACCTGCCTGGCTCAGGGTGTTGGGTGGGTGAGGAGACGGGCAGGTTGGATGGGCCTCATGGTGAAGGACTGTGGCATCCAGGTTGGATTTTGGCCTCCTGGGCACAGGTGCTGTAGCAGGTTCCTGAGGGAGAGTGGGGCTGAGCAGCTCGAGGGCCAGGGTTGTGTCTCATTGGGCTCTGAGGTCCCGTGTGAACCCCAGAGCTGGTCTGGTGTGGGATTGGGGTTCTTGGAGACTGGCAGGTGGTAGAGAGACATTGGGCAGGAGGCAGGCAGGATTGGGCCCTGAGGGGTAGGGAGCAGGAGAAATGGGAGGCTGGGGATGGGATCCAGGCCTGCCATGGGGACAAGGGTGGAGGAGGGTCAGCACTTGGGGGGCTGCACTGGAGCTGAGGGGTTGTCAGGGGCGTGGGATCAACAGTTTGAGGGCCCACTGGGGACATGGTGGCGACAGGAAAGGGCTAGAAATTGGTCAGCAGTGAGGATTCCAGTGCCAGCGCTGTCCCTGACCGCCTGTGAGGCCCTGGCTGACCCTGTCCCTGTCCCTCTTCTGAGCCTCAGTCTCCTTGTCTGTGCAGTGGGCATAATACACCGTGACCCCCTACCCCTGGTGCCCTTCCAAAGCTGGTCTGAGCCCTTGAGGTGGTGACAGCACAGTGACCCTGGGGAGCAGGTGCTTCTCCCCGCAGCACAGAGCTTACCGGGGGGTGGGACGGGGCATGGCTTTCGAGGTTTCCATAGAACTGATTCCAGGCCTTCACGAGTCTCCCGAGGGCGGGGGGGCCCTGGCCCCATTACAGAGCGACCATGCTGCCCCCTTCCTCCCGCGTTCTCAGGGCCACAGAGTTCAGCACGTCGGATAGAAAGCGAGCTTACTGCTGCCACGAGGACGCACACAAACCGGGCGGCTTCACGCAGCAGAACTCCATTCTCTCTCCGTCTGGAGCCAGGAGTCCAGAATCCAGGAGTGGGCAGGGCCAGACTCCCTCTGAGGGTGCCAGGGGAGGGTCCTCCCTGCCTCTTCTGGCCCCTGGGGGTGCCAGGTGCTCCTTGGGCTGTGGCCCCGTCACCCAGTCTCTGGCCCGTCTTCACGTGGCTTCTCTCTGTGTCTCCTCTTCTGTCTCTTACAAGGACAGGTGTCCTCAGATTCAGGACCGACCCTGATCAGGACAATCACATCTCAAGTCCTGTCTTAATTACATCTGCAGAGTCCCAAATTCCAAATAAGGTCACATTCTGAGGTTCCGAGTGGAAGTGTGTTTGAGGGGAACACTATGCAGCCCCCCTAGGCCAGCACAGGCCCCCCCCCCCCGCATCCCTGGTGGGCCAGGGTCAGGCAGGCTGAGCAAGGAGGCCTGTTCACTGCCCTTTCCTCTGGACTCCAGGCTCCCCTGGGACTCCGATGCACCAGCCTGTGACTCCCCTAACCTGGCCATACCTGAACACTGTTCCCAGAGCAGAGGGCACCGTAATTCCAGAAAGAGCCCCAAGTTAGTTCTTTCCAGGAGCCCCTATCCACCTCCACACTACCCGGTGGGGGGAACCGAGGCTGGGGGAGGGGCCCAGCTCAGTCCCAGCTCTTCTGGGGAGAGGCAGTCCCTGTGCACCCTCCCAGGTGGTCTCCCGGGGCAGCGGGGCTGGCGCCACCTTCACTGTCGCTCTTATCTTGAGGGCACTGGAGACGGAAACGGCACATTCTCCAGTCCTGTGATCACTTCACAGGAGAGGCTCGGGCTCAGGGGACCCAGCCAAGCGAGGATGCGGCCCCTCGCTCTGCAAATAGCTGCCAATCGGCTCCATCTGCACACTGTCACTGGCCCGGCCACACAGGGTCCCCAGGCGGCGGGTGGGGCTGGGCTGTTCGGCCTTGACGAAGACAGGGAGATGGGGACAGAGGGAAGGGGTTCAGGCAGGTGGCACAGCAAAAGTGGGCATGCGGATGGCAGTTAAGCCTGGACCACCTGGCCTGCACTACCTCCAGCGTGGACGCCCCTGCCAGGCCTCTGACCACCGCGGGCTGAGAGGGGGGATCTCCTGAGCCAGCAGCCTGCGGGGGGACTGTTTCCCAGGGAGGGGTTCTGAGAGGGGCATCCGTCTGGTCAGCTCCTGGTCCACTGGGGGGCATTCAGAGTGGGCAGGTGGCCAGGGTAGGGGAAGCTTCCAGGCCCTAAAGGGCCAGTTAATAGAGGCAGAGGCTTTGAGGAGAGGGGAGGGTCTGAGCAAAGAGGAGCTTTGGGAGGTATGAGGAAGGGGAAGGACAGGTCTGACCGCTATGCGCAGGAGAGGGGAGGGGGCTTTCCCCGGGGAAAGGGGTCCCACCAGGGTCCCTCACTTCACCCATACCCTCAGAGCAGACTTCTGGCCTGTGCCCTCGACCTGACACCCCATGGCCCTGCAGTTCTAGGTCTGACTGTTCCCCCGGGTGTCATCCATGCAGCAGAGAACCCCATCCCCAACTCCAGGCCTCCAGCCTCACGGCCTACCCAGCACACACGTGATGCTCATTCCGGCGAAATATTCTCTTTATGGCCATGCTGACAGCTCTCCAGACCTTGCTCATGCTGCACCCCTCCTAGATCACCCCTCCTCTTTATCTAATGATCTCCCACTCCTCCACAGACACGCAGTGCACGCACCGCCTCCCCCAGGAAGCCCTCCACCCCAGGCACCCTTGCCATGGGCAGGTCGAGGCTCCCACAGCCCCTACACTTTGCGTTTTTTGTGTCGGTTTCCTTCTGTTCCCCACCCTGGACTGTGAGTCCCGGACATCCTCACCGAGGTCCAGGGCCTCATGTCTGCCAGGGCCCCGTGCCCACCAGGGCCCCATGCCCACCAGGGCAGGAAGAGAGGTTGGGGCAGCAGCTGGCTCTGTGGGATGCTCCTCTCACCCTTTTTCATTTAGCATGCGCTGTGGGTCTCCTCCTTGGGGCCAGGGCTGGGGTTCTGGCGGAGGGGGGGGGCAGCGGGTTGCCAGCTTCCTCAGGACTGGGGTTCTGGCCAGGGGGGCAAGGGGTTGCCAGCTTCCTCAGGGCTGGGCCTCGGAAGTGAGGCCGGGGAGCAGGGACAGCTGACAAATGGCCCCTCTGCAGCCGTGGGCAGAAGCTAATGATTCCCATCTTTAATCAGCCTGGCTGGCAGGGCCCTTTCGATCCGGGTAAATGAGTACCTGGGGTCAGGGCTGGCTCTGGGAATCCGCCTTCCGGGGCCAGGGAGGGAGGCCCAAGGAAAATACGAGGCTGCACCCATCCCAGCCGCTTGGAGCCGGGAGAAAGAACAACACTGGTTGGGGCGGCTTCCCAGCAGACAGCACGCCTGGGCCTCGCTGACCCGTGTGCTCACCTCCCGTCCTTCAGCAAACGTGGTGCAGGGAGCTCCGCACGCACACCAGGCGTTCATCGAACAGCCATTTATTAAGTGCCCACTGCATGCCAGCCCTGCACCGGGCAGGAGGGCCATGAAGGGGAGAGGCCGGGGGAGGGGATCCTCACCTATCGATCACCCACTGCTGCTGGGCTTGGTACCACCGTGAGGTGCCCGCCCCTGGCCGGCTTCCCCCCCTGCTACCCCGTGACCTGCAACAAGTCCCACAGCACGCCAGGCCTCAGTTTCCCCGAATTGCATTGACTCCCAGCTCCCTGAAAGGCGGTTGTGAGAATTTACGAAGCACTTTCCATAAGTGTGTGCCCAGCTCTGCCGAGTTCTGAATATTCTCACGGGCCCCTCGTAAGGCTCTGCGCAGTAGGTCGGCGGCTACCTTTAGCGGACAAGGAGACTGAGGCTCAGAGAGGAGACCCTGATCCGTGGGGACCCAGCGGGAAGTGTGGGGGCACCGGCTGCGGTCAGGCTGGAAGCGTGGGGGGCGCGGGTGGGG